AGGTTTGAACGTCCTATTTTGGAACACGCCGGTTGGCCTACTTTCGAGTCACGTCCACTTTTTGGCAAAAATGGAAATGGCCATAAGTCAATTCAGGTTCAACGGATTTTGCTCATTTCTAGTACGTGAATGAATAAGGATTGGCCCCAAAACATCACACGGGTTTTGATATTTTTTTTAAATTATGCAAATTAGGTTGATTTTGGCAATTTCGCTATGCATTTCAGTGTCTGCCTACGGCCAACGATAACTTTTGGCATGTGAATGTGTAAGGCTAGTCCCAAAACAGTTGTTACTCTTCTGGGAGAGATGACAACGTCCTATTTATACATTTATTTCGTCTAACTGGTCAACAACTTTACAATCGTACCTATATATGTGTAATATTATGTTTCAGATTCTTCGTTACATTAATTTGACTGGAGTATTTTATTGTTTTTATTTGCGCGATATTCGAAAACCAAAATGGCGATCATTTAGGCGTAGCGCCATCTCTCGTCAAGATTTCAGACTTTCAGATCTGAAACATTTATTTTCGCATCAAAACTTATGCATATATAATTATCAAGAGTATATAATGGGAGTTCTCCCATATATATACTCTTGCTTTATATATCCCCCTTCCCTCTTCTATCACACCCAAGGTGAGCTACAGTGTCATTGACACTTTCATTTACCAATCTACCATCGGGGAAACTAATGGTCAAGTAAAATCAATTAATGAAATAAAAATTAAGTATGGCTGGAGGCAGAAACTTGACTCGTGCGTGGACGATACGTCACCCTGCTGGGTTACAGTATCGATCCATCTGCCGTGCATTATAAATGTATCAATTATTATTGGTTACTAATCATATTGTTGTAGCCGTGTGTCAATTTCATCAAGGAAGCTAAAGAAAAGTAGCTGAACTAGAAATAGAATATTATTAACACAGGTAATAATTACTAATTACAATTTGTAATCTTCGGTGTTTGTGTAGACCTAATCAAGGTCAGCGAAAGAGGAGTAGCTGAACTAGATATAATTGCAGGTGTGTGCAGACGTCATCCGGTTGTTTGTGTAGACCTAATCAAGGTCAGCGAAAGAGGAGTAGCTGAACTAGATATAATTGCAGGTGTGTGCAGACGTCATCCGGGGAACTAAAGAGGAGTAGCTGAACTAGATATAAAATATTATTAACACCTAGATAATAATTACTAATTACGATTTGTCATCTCAGGTGTGTGCAAACCTAATCAAGGGAGCTAGAGGAGCAGCTGAACTAGATATAAAATATTATCAAGACATAGATAGGGGTAGAAATGAACTTTTGAAAAAGAGGGAGTCTGCAGTCTGAAGTTCAAAACTAAAGTTATTAACAATAACGCATGTGCTTATTTTGAAGATTCATGCGGTTGCACGTCTGCCAATTTTTCTTTGGACATTTGCTGAAAAAATATAGTAATTCCGCGAGGCCGAGCTATGGAACGAACTAGTTAGTGTAAGGGATCGTTTACTCTAGATTCTAGGGTTATTTTCAGTTAATTTATGTTAAAATTATGCTACATAAAAAGTTTCATGGTTCAATCACCGTCAAAAATATTATTAAAAAATGTTTTAAAACTAACGACTACAGTTTGATTACAACGGCGGTGGCGCCACTCAAAGCGCACGATCTGATAAGTTGCGCGAAACCACTTTCCAGCCAAGGGCTACAGACTGAGGGTGTTTCTTATTTATTCATTTAAAAGCAAAAGGATTGTAATATCTTATAAACAACATATAGTTTCCATTATAATATGGATAAATTTGCTCTAAAATATCGTTTAGTTAAATAGCATTTAGGTATAAATATAATTGCACTTTTGTGATTAGCCCTCCATCTGTAACGTGCAAAATAAATTGTCAAATACGCAACTTTTTCTGGGTGGCAGCACGGTCGCGGGTATCATGGCGCCGTTCAAATTTCGTAGCGTTGATGTGTAATTAATTATAACAATTAAATTAGGTATCTGGTAACAAATACGTGTGGGTATAGACGATTTGTTATACAGTAAGTACAGTTGTATGCAGTAAAATCCTAGAGGCTACTGTCCCTTTAGTATAGCAGAATTTTCAGGGAGTCACACGGACTCCTGCATATGTAAAATCAGGGAGTCCGACAGTAAATCGAGGAGTATTTGACTCCGGACTCGCGTTAATTTCTCACCATGCATAATGGCCTGCATAGATAATAATTATATTACTAATTAGTAATTACGATTTGTCATCTCAGGTGTGTGCAGACCTCATCAAGGGAGCAAAGGAGAAGCAGCTGCGTGTGAAGGGACCCGTCCGCATGCCGACGAAGATACTGCGCATCACGACGCGCAAGACTCCGTGCGGCGAGGGATCGAAGACGTGGGACCGCTACCAGATGCGAATCCACAAGCGAGTCATCGACCTTCACTCGCCCTCCGAGATCGTCAAGCAGATCACGTCGATCAACATTGAGCCGGGGGTCGAGGTCGAGGTCACGATCGCAGACGCATAGGCGGCGACGCGGCGGCGGCGCCCCCTACGCGATTCTGATGGCGACGAAACGTGAATAAATCGCTTTGGTGCGAAAACTTATCTCGGCGTCTTTCTTTTTTGGTTTTTGACTGTGTCGTGCTCTTGTTTTTTTTACTTCCTGTTTACCGCCTGTCGGAAATACACTGCTGCGTCGAAAAATATACGCGTGTCGAAACTTGGTTACGCAAATCTGAAAAGTTACGATACAAATATTGCTTCTCTGCCATTAGACTTAGTGCATTCACCCTCAACAGTATGATTGACCATTTTAGGATTTTGGAAGGTTGCTAATCTCTGTTCATTTACAAGTATGGAGCCGGTATAAAATTGTTACACATACTGCAAGAAACTCGGGTGGGGGGGGGAACGTGGATGACATTGCCTAGCGGGAAATTATTAATTCACTAAAAAATTAATGCATCAATGAGAGCCGTACCAAGGGAAAATATATAACGCTGTAATATTGTAAATAAGTAAGCAAGAAGTGTGAAAGTTAAAGTATATACATATTAATGTCCTTGATTGCGCTATTCCGAAATCTGCTGGTTCCTCTAACCTTTTTCCCACTTCTACTCAATTTCCACAAATTAGATTGTGCATCTTGAATTAATGGTAGACATAATCCAGTAATCCTCAGGTTTTTTACTAAATAAGATGTCCAAACACTCGTGTGACTACTAGGTGAAGCAACTTGCAAGGCAATGGCAACTACTCTCGTAGCAATCTTATGATGGATTAAATCATGATTACATTAATAAAATTCTCAAATAAAAGGGTTAATTAGTTTGCATGCACATTTGCTTATTATTGTAACACTGTAGTGTACTGTTTACAATTATCAAGGGTTTGTAAAATATATGTATAATATATTAAAAAATATATAAATGTTGCAATAAATTTGGTTTATTTCCAATAGGTGGCGGTAGCGTGTATCACGCCGTAGATCACGCCGTACGTCGTAAACATACAAAATCATCAGTATCACCATCCTATCACTATCACTATCAGTATCAGTATCAGTATCATGCTACATAGCGAATTATATTTAAACAGTGCAAGAAGATACAATGTCTGATAGTATTTCGACAGCCACCGGGCCGGATGAAGATGCAGGTGTTTCTGGTAAGGGTGCATGTACTCACACTCACAGTCACAGTACTGAGGGTTCAAGGATAGAGAACATTACATGGGTCCCAATAAAACCAATGTAATTTACATCAATATAAATATAATATTATATCAATATAATAGGTTAGGGGAAGTGAACAGTGAACATCCCCCTCCCACACCCTCCCCCCGCTCGGTCGCTTGGCTCCCTCGCCTGGTCGCTTCGCGCCCGAGCAGGGGCGTGTACAGGGAGGGTCCAGGGAGTCCGGACCCCCCCTTGCTCGCGCAGAAAACGCATCTGAAGGGGTCAAATTTTAAAATTTTTTTGGGGGAGGGCCCCCTAGACCCCCCCTTCGCGTGCTCGCAACTTTGGGTTATGGTTAGACCGACCCCTGGTACTAATCCTGTACACGCCCCTGCCGAGCAAATTGCGAACATTGAAAAACGAACCCCCCCCAATAAAATTAAGCTGGCTACGGGCTTGTTATTGTATCTAATTATAGTGATACATTATGGCAGAGCCAACAAAGCGAAACACAAGTGTCACAACATTGAGCGCTGAGCTACATTGTCATTGGTCATTACAATTTTGGCAAATAAAAAGATAAAATTTTGTCTTATTGACAATCGGGAATTGTATTGAATGGTGCATTATTGAAATGATGCACGACCATGCTACAAACTAACTGAAATATAGTTACCGGCGCTTATTAGTAAATAATTAAAGTAATGATAGATACGGTACTATATAATTAACATGCACGTATAATAACCTCTTCTTCAAAGTCCAAGGGAATATATCGAAAACAGAAAGAGAAAGTTGATAAATTAGACAGATCAACACTGCGGATCGCAGTAGAAAAAGCCTCAGATTTGCAATTGAGAGAAAGGAGAGAATTCCAATACGGAATGACAGAAACAAAGAAGCTAAACTTAAAGGGATCCTTTGAAGATGGGCTGATAATGTGCAGTGTTCTCTGTACATGTAAGTGGTACTTGTAGTCTGAAGCATCGTGTATTTTTTTTCAGCAAAATCCTCGGAATCGGAAGTCGTGGCGAAAAAACCGCAGAAGAAGTATTACCGTCAGAGGGCGCATTCCAACCCTCTCGCCGACCACACGTTCGACTATCCCGTGTGTCCAGCTGCGATGGACTGGTCTCAGTATTATCCTCAGCTAATCTCACCGGATAAACCAACTCCACACCCAAAGTATACATACATATGTGTATCTAAATGCAAACACCTAGATATCTAAATATCGGTTATGTTTTATGCGTCGTTCTTCTCTCTGTGTGGATTATGAGTGCCAGAATTCTTAATAAAATTTTTTTGAAATTGGCGAATTTATTTACCCCCGTAACATATATTGATATAAAGATTGTTCAATTTATTGTCGTTCTCCGTGCTATATGTTACTTCTGCATGGAATGTAAGTCGTAAGCTTATTAGTCACAAATAAATCTGGAAACATTAAAGGCATTGTTAACATTAAGACCCTTGTTAGCGATAGAACAGGAGTCATAGCCATGTTTGTTAAAGCTAAGTGATATTTAAGTGCAGTCTGAAGCACAGAACCACATTACAGCGTCGGTCAAGACTAAATTAAGCCATGATTTTAAATCGTTTATAATTTTGTCACAGGGTAGAGATTGCTGATATTGGATGTGGATACGGAGGCCTGCTTGTGTCTCTCTCACCAATGTTTCCCGATCAGCTCATGCTGGGACTGGAGATCAGAGTGAAGGTGAATATAGTGATTCACGCTTACAAGAGATGAATGATAATTTTTATACACAGTGTTTCCCCTGCATTGACACGAGCGAGGCGGCCGCCTCGCTCAAATCTCACCCGCCATGCAAGAAATTTATTCAAAAACACCGCCTCGCTGACGAAAATCAGTGTTCTTCCATCAATAAACTACACTTTATTGACAGCGTTCGAAATTAGTGCCGACCCGCGGAGGAGGCCCGAGGCCACCAAGATTTTGCTTCGGCCACCATCTCTACAAAACTGCCGGTCCTCCTGACCGGCACTTTTTCCCCCTCATATTGCGCTGAAATACTACGGTTATCGCAATGGCAGTTTAGACAGACTTGTAAATGGGAGCGGATTCTAATACGCTCCGTTCCTGAACGTAGACGGGATATCCAAAACATCTAGAGCCGAGGGCATGAACTCCCTCAACGCATGATTTGCCACACGAACAAAACCTCGTGACAGCCTAAGAAATCGATTGCGGCCAGTAGCGTAGCCTAGTGTTTTTATGACCGCATAACAATAAGTTCATATATCGCAGGGGTTATCGTGGGGAGTGAGGGCACCACCAGTGACACCTGACACGCATGTAATCAAAGCTGTTAACTGAATTCGGCACTTTTCTTTACGTAGAAAGTCGACTATTTTTATTCAGTTAGATATCTAGAAGCAATGTAAACTGTATATACTTCAAGATTCTAGGCACTTGTAACTTTGCGGATATGCAGCAGTATTGATCTATGCATGGGGGTACATACCCAAGAGGACTGCATGGGGAGGAGAAAAACGAAAGTAAAACCTTTCCCAGAAGCTTGTTTGTTCCTTTTGACAACTTGAAAAGGTGATTCAAGAGTCTCATATATTGGGTTCAGAATAGCTTAGAATGCACCAAATTGCACCTTTTTTTTATTTCCTGGGGGAGCATGCCCCTGGACCCCCTAGCATGGCGATCACCTTCGGTGCTTGCATTGCTCGCTTCTCGGATTGCGCAACCACCAAAATGTTTACCGCCTCGCTGACCTTTTTAGCCAGGGGAAACACTGACACATATTGTAGGCGTGTTCTTCGCACTACCTTAGTAGAAGGTCTGTAATAGACTAGAGAGAGATAAGACAAGACAAGAAGTAACGTTCACTGGTGTTTACTCAATCTCTAATACGATACATGCGGTCTCCGTGCACTACCAAAAGCAAGAGCGGTTACTACACACTACACCTTTCTCAGCGGGTGGCTGGTACAAGAGCCTCTAGAAGCGCGGCAGCTTCCGCTATTTATACGGCGTTTCCTCCCCTACGTCACCGTCCTTATTTTAGCTCCCCTTTCCGGCCAATCGGCCATACTAAATACGGTGAGGTGAGTATTACAACTGCTACATTACACTACCGAATACGGTGGGGTATAAGCGTTTTCGCACTTGGCTCGGATCCATAGTCCGATTCTGGCCCCCTGATATCAATAGGGTCATCTGGTCGGTGTCTAGCGGCTTGTCACAATCCGCAAGAACTCGTGGCTTCGTGACTGCGGCTTCTAGCTAGCCGGCGCCATCTCGAGTCACGGCTCTCTTGATCTCCGTGTCGACCGCTGACTCTCCCGTCTCTGTTTTATACATCTCCTCTGACTGCGTTCCCGCATCGCCATCACTTCTCATAGCGTGTAGGATTTGCCCGTTTACAATATGATACATCATGTAATTACATTGATAATTATTATAACACTGGCTTATGAGTAGTGGTGTAACGGTTAACCGCGGTTAACCGAAAACCGCGGTTTTTGCGCCACCATTCGGATATTCGAACCGTCGTTCCGTTTTCGGCTCGGTTTCGGTTCCACATTTTATATATACCCGATATATACGCTTTTGAGATACGCGCACTGCAATTGGCTGGTCGAAAACTCTCGGCCAATCAGCGAGCAGATAGCATTGATAGACCACTTGCTACATGCCACGAGAAGGTCAACGCGTTCATTTTGTCTGCAAAAATGACAACTTATGTTGATCCACCGGCCTCCTACAGATCTATGGTATTTATAAACCAGTCTGATTATTAAATTTGCACTTCTGTTTGGTGTTATAAGATTTGTAATTGATCGCAAATATTCGAACCGAAAATAACCGAACCGAAATGTGAAAACCGAAAACCGAACCGAACCGTGAAGTTGTGATTCGTTGCACCCCTACTTATGAGCCAGTCCACAATCGAGGCAAGCTTTCGTACAATTATAGGACGGACGAAGGGAAAGTTATTAAAAATATAATACTAATAGTATTTATTATGTCTTATTAGTATAAATTACTAATGATTAACTAATATTATAACTATAATTACTAACTTATTCCTAAAAATTAGTTAGAAACTAGTAATCGCTATTACTTAATAATATATATGACTAATTATAATTAATATCAATACTAATTACTCACGTTTACAGGTATCAGACTACGTGAAGGACCGCATCAAAGCGCTTCGTTCGGAACACCTCGGGGAGTTCGCGAACATCGCCTGCATCCGCGCGAACGCGATGAAGTACCTCTGTAACTTCTTCTCGAAGGGTCAGCTCAGCCGCATGTTCTTCCTGTTTCCCGACCCACACTTCAAGAAGACGAAACACAAGTGGCGCATCATCAGTGCGACGCTGCTCGCGGAGTATGCGTACGTGCTGCGCCCTGGTGGTGCCGTCTATACCATCACTGACGTACTCGACCTTTACGAGTGGATGGTGAGCGCCCCCTGGTGCCTCGTTGTCGCACATAGCGACGAGAGACATGTCACGGAATACCATTAATGATTTATTTTCTCATATACGTTTATTTATTTTTAATTTTTTTATTTGGTTTTTGCTGTTTTTGATTATTACTTGTATGGTATTAATTTTGGTCTAGCTGCCTTTTAATGTAAAATCTCTTGATTCTTTCGAAAGTCAGGTGACAAAGACAGTTTTGACAGGTCTTCAAAATTGACGTTAAAATGTCTAGAATCCTTTGATTCATCTCAAAATTAAATTTCCATTATCATAATCATGAAATGTAATAAACCTATCCTGACAGTATGTATGTATGTATGTATGTATGTATGTATGTATATAATGTACACACACACACACACACATATATGTATGTAATAATTTGTAAAAATGTCTATGTAAGCGTTTTATTTACGACAGCGCGTAATAAAACCACGTCCCAGTAAGCGGGAGCCTTCCTCGGCATTTGAAATCCGCGCATTGACGCATCTTCGTTCCTTCTCTCCCTGTCCTCGCAGGTGAGACACTTCGAGGAGCATCCTCTCTTTGAGAGAGTGAGGGAGGAGGAGCTGGAGAGCGACCCCGTCGTCCCGCTGCTGCACCGCGCGACCGAGGAAGGCCAGAAAGTCGCGCGCAACAACGGAGAGCGCCACCTGGCGGTGTTCCGACGAGTCGCTGATCCGCACGACCGCGCGGCAAGCTGACGCGATCGTCTTAATGAGCCACCGCTAACGAGACGTTCATCGACACTAAGACACATGCTGCTAGCTGTGTCACACTGGACCGTAGCTTACACACGTCGTCACTGCTGCTAGCTGTGTCACCGCAGTTTACCCGCCTCTTCCACACGCGCTACGCCGTTGACTTTTGCAGGCACTCGCTTGCGAAGCGACGCCTTTGGAACGTCCTGTCGCAGCGACGATCAGCTAGAGTTTCCCGGTCGCTCCGGGCGGAGGGGGTCGATTCCGTCCTTCACTCCAAGCCCTCGCGGTGTCGTCGCGCGCATACGCGACGTATGAGTGAGACGTACGGAGCGATCCCGAGTAGTTAGGGGACTTAGGTCGCTGCCATGTTTCGCCGAGCGGCTGGTCGCTGATGTCACGTTAGGGACTCGACGTGGAGTGGTCGAGGATTGCGTACAGTGCGTTCGCAACCTCGGAGCGAAGTCGTATTCACGAATACGAGACGGTTACTCGCTCGCTGACGTACGTGGAGACTCGTGCGATGCTGGGCGGTCGTATCCGACGCCTATATACGCGAACGTCGTTGATCTGTCGTGGAAGAAAAACCTGTTCACATCCGAGGCTTACTGTTAATAGTATTGATGGATAGTAATGTGGGTAAAATAAATGCACTTTTTAACATAGCATTGCCTAAATATTTTATTAAGTTTGTTGGAATTTCGATAGCAACGAAGATATGCTTCATGCATTGTAAGTGCTCAAAATTTATAGACATGTTGGCCACTAGATCGGATTGCGGCCCCGGTTTTTTGCGCGCAGCCGCACAGCTCGCGGGCCAAAGCCGCGCCTAACGCGAATAACCCGCCCCCTTTTGTGTCCACTTAGCAGATATCTGAGACACGGGTCATGAAAAACGTCACTACGCGAAAACTGGCGCAATCCAACCGACATTTCGCGATGGACGGCAGGCAGGCCATCTCCAACGGCCCTAACACTTTTTTGGCGTTGGCGCGCCTCTGGCTAAGACGGGGAGTGACTCCCTACAAAAAATGCAAGAAATTTCGTCAATCAGCGATGACGCGCTCAGCCTCCGTAATGGCCGCACCATGACGGGCGCTAGGTGCCGAGTATACGCGTTAATGTCTATCACAGAGCTTTCTAGCGAAGTGTCGTACGCGCGCTCCACGGCGGGGGCGCGGCCTAGACTATCTTCAAACCGCGCTCACTGCCTGTGCAGGCGCCTGACTGTACCGTGCGTAATGTTACCACTATTGACCCCGCGCGCCCGCTGGCAGACAGGACGTCGGGCGAAGCACCGACTGCGCTGGCGTGGGCTCTTGCGAATACTGCGAGCACTGGGGTGGGTGGTCCGTGCCAGTTTTTACACGTAGCTAAGGTAGACATCGACGAAAGCCAGCCAAACAGCTAACAAAAAACTCGCCCCGCGCCCAGCGCGGCTCCACAGCGGTAATGCTATCCGCCGGGCGTGGAGCGGAGCGTGACCGCAACGTGGTCAGCACTATCGTTGGGATAGTTTTAGGATTAGGGTTAGCGTCATCAGTAGGCCGTTCAGGGTAGGCGTAGGTAGGGTTAGGCGTTAGGATTAAAGTTGGTTAGGGTGGCTAGGTAGGTTCGGTTTGCATCATGATACTGTCCCACACCATAGATTAATTTTTGTGGTCCAATGCTATATTATAGGCGGCGGCGACACATATATATTATGTGGGATAGTGGTGGCGTGTTGGAGTAGAGCGTACCGTTATCAGTCAACGTATCACGTGACTCACCTCCACGCCAACGGGATAGCAACACCCCTCTGCAGGCAGCAGCAACAGCAGCAACTGCCCACCGAAGGCCCGCCATAGCCGAGCCGCCTGGTGCTGAGACGAAAACTGCCGCGATGTTACGCTTCCCACTATACGGATTGCGCGCAGACCGCCCTCCTTCGGCGCGCGATTCTCTATAGCGCGGCCCAGCGCGAGATCACATACAACACCCGCCGGTCGCGTGCGCCAGTCCTACTGCGGACAGTGCCAGGCTTAACCGCTATCTTCGGCGGTCGGGGAAACAACGCGATCTTTTGCCGCAACGCCATCTTGACCGGTCTCTCTGGATGCGCAGTACGATGTCATACCTGTTAGAGTACTCCATAAGAAATCCTCTTTATGGAAAATCCTCTTTGTGGAAAATCCTCGTTATGGATCCTCTTTATGGAGGTACTCTAATACCTGTATGTTTTCAACATTCCCGAAGGAGGGATATTCATGCTGCGATACCCTCTAACCATTATATAACGTTACAGGCGCGCCCGCGAAGCCCAGTTTTGGATTGGGGGGGGGGGCAAAGCACCCTAAGGGTGGGTGCTCGACGATTTTGTTATCGTTGTGTGCGTGAGCGCGTGCGTGCGCGACGTAGTGTGCGTTGATGCGCCGACGTGTGGTGCGTGAGCGAAGACGTATGTTGCGTCAATGATGCGCGACCGTGTGTGGTCCTGATTGCGCGACGTGTGTGCTGTTTACGAGCGCCGGACGTTGTCGTGCCGTGAGCGTTCGACCAAAGGCCACCGACCCCAGACTACTGCCATGTGCCGACGTGTGTGCGTGAGCGCCGTTCGTGTGCGACGTGTGTGCGTGAGCGCGGTTTGTGCGGCCTGTGTGCGTGAGCGCGTGTTGGCGTGAGCGCGTGTCGTGTGCGTGAGCCGGGTCGTGCCAGTAGAGCGCCGTGCTGTGATGACGTGTGCTGCAAGAATGAGCGCGCTGTGTGCGGCCGTCGTGTGCATGAGCGGCATTGTGTGCGCGTGTGTGTGTGACGTGTGTTCCGTGAGCGAGGGTTCGTGTGTGGTGACATGGTGTGCGTGAGCGCGTCTGTGTGCGAACGCTGGTGCTGCGTGACGCGCGTGTGTGTGCATGTGTGCGTGAGCGCGTGCTGTGCGTGAGCGCATGCTGTGTGACGGTCGCGTGGTGTGCGTGAGCGCGTGTGTGTGACGTGTGTGCGTGAGCGCGATGTGTTGTGACGTGTGTGCGTGAGCGAGTATGTGCGTGAACGCGTGTGTGCGACGTGGCGCGTATGTGCATGAGCGCGCCGTGTGTGCGTGAGCGCGCGTGTGCGGACGTGTGTGCGTGAGCGCGCGGTGTGGCGACGTGTGTGGCTGAAGCGCGTGTGTGCGGTGTGTGTGCATGAGCGAGTATGTGCGGTGCTGTGCATGGCAAGAGCGCGTGTGTGCGACGCGTGAGCGTCAATCACGCAAAGCGCGCAGCGAAAACTTAAAATGGATGTATAAATTCGTTTTTTAACGTTAGAATTAACAAGTCTTAGCTCATACATTTTATTTTTTATTTCTCATTCTTCTTTTTTTGGGGGGGCTTTTTGGTTTTGCCCCTCCACTTTTTGGATTTAGGGGTGGCCGCCCTGCCTGCCCCCCCCCCACTTTCGGCGCTCTGAAAGTATAACCACAGACTAACGGATACGTATCCGTTAGTCTGTGCCTGTGGTATAACCCTCTAACCATATATGCAAAGTCATCAGAAAATATAACTCTTCTGCTGATATATTGCGCATAAGCTAAAACAAATAACGTAGCCAGATTGCGTACTGACTGGTACCTACCTTACATGCAAGGTAATTGAAATACAAACTTCAATGGCAATTAAAAAAATTAAAAATTAAATTAAATACTTTATATACAAAAACGTAATGAAAATATCATTACGTAATAAAAATGATGTAAACATTTGAAAAATAAAATCTAGGATCTTAGGCCGTCGTACAATAGAGGGCAGGAACATCGGCTGTCGATGTTGTCAATTTGTCATGGCGGAGTTCGTGGACCATGATGATGAAAATTGGGAAACGATTTTAGAGCTCTTGAAATGATTTTATATAATAATTAATATATTTAAAATAAGAAATTTAATATGAAGTTAGTCGGTAAAGAGATAGACAAGGACAGTAAGGGGTAAGAATGCATAATACGTTTAATCTGACGGGTAGGCCCTACTGAGTACTGTAAAGGTGCGAAGCCTAGGTTTCATTTGATATACTAATTTGTAATTACTATCATATAGGCCCCCCTATGTATTTATATTCGCAGTGGCTACGCGTCCGGAACCGGTCGCCTAGCCTCCAGGCTACGCATCCGGACATCCACTCACACATGCAGTGATCGGCGCGACTTGCGTACACGCATGATTGCGCAACGGGACGCTCTGCCTGGATTGCCGTAAATATACAATATTAGCGCAGTGGCCTGACGGGTACGCCCAGCGCGTCGGTCGTTAGAAGCCGCCTTTTTGGCGTTAGGTGTTAGGGTTGGCGTTAAGGATTAGGGTTAGGTTTACGGTTATGGTTAGGTTTAGCGGTTAGGTTAAGGCGGTTTAGGGTTCTAGCTCATGCTAAACTCTCAATCGTGAATTTATTCCCAAGGCGTTATTTCGAAATATCTCGACCCACCGCGCGGCCAATCTTTGTCTCGTTAAAGTATGAAATGGCAATGGAACTGGCCGTACCCGTAGCCTCGATCTTAAGATACGCCTGGCTACCGTAGCCACTGCCTACAATATATTGCATCTGCTGGTCTATCCATTCATCGTCCGTCTCTCGCTTTCCCCACTTCCACCACCACACGACTATGCACCGTTTAAGATGCATGTTGCTCTGTGGCATAATTCGATTTTTGTTTTATGAAAAATGGTTGATTTTATCGCGATTAACATTCGATTGTCACTATAAATTCGCATTTTCAAATTATAACATTCGATTTATCACATATAACATTCGATTTATCGCATATTGATTTGATTTCACGCATCAGAATCATTTGATTCACGCATCGAAATCATTCGTATGGCATCATGTCGATGCGTGAATCAGCATGATTCGATGCGCGAAGCGAATGATTTCATAGCATCATTCGATTCACGCATCGAATCATTCGATTCACGGCACGATGATGCCATCAAATCATTCGATGCGTGAATGAATGATTCGATGCTGTTGATCAAATGATTCGTATGCCCTTGCTGATCGAATCATTGCCGTATGCTTGATCGAAATAATGCATCGGAATGATTCGATTCACGCATCGATGATTCGATTCACGCATCGAATGATGCATCGAATCATTCGAGCTGAATGCGAACGATATCGTCATGCGTGCGGATGAATCAAATGATTCGTGCGTGAAATCGAATCATCTGATTGCGGTGAATGATGATGAATCGAATCATTCGATTCGCGCATCGAAATCATTCGATCACGCATCGAATGTTGCATCGCAATCGTATTCGAGCTCGTGAATCGACTGATTCGATGCGTGAATCAAATGATTCTCGTATGCTGAATGATATCGATGATGCTGGAATGAAATCGAATCATTCATGCGTGAATCGAATGATGCATCGAATCATTCGATTCACGCATCGAATCATTCGATTTCACGCATCGAATCATTTGATTCACGCATCGAATGATTCGATTCACGCATCGAATGTTGATGCATCATTCGATGCGCGAATCGAATGATTCGATGCCGTGAATCGAATGATTCGATGCATCATTCGATTCACGGCATCGAATCATTCGATTCACGCATCGAATCATTCGATTCACGCATCGAATGGATGCATCGAATGATTCGATGCGTGATCGATGATTCGATGCGTGATCGAATCATTCATGCGTGATGTTACACAGCGTCGCCTCTCTCGCTCTCTCTCTCTCACGCTACACCACACCATACACATTCCCTCTCTCTCTCTTCTCCTCTCCTCTCTCTCTCTCTTCTCTCTCTCTCTCTCTCTACTCATGCCACACACAGCACACTCGGCAATCAGCAGGCGTCGCCGTTGCGCAATCATGTGTGCTACGTGTTCGCAAGATCACTCTTTCACTGTGTGAGATGCGATGTCCGCGGACGCATAGCCTAGCGGCTCCTCGTCCGAACCGGTGCGTAGCCCGGCGTATTTTATTTATTAAATTATAGATAATACTTAATAATAACACTGTCTTACTTACTGTGTGTGTATACATGTATGTTATCAAAAGATAACAGTGGGCGATCCAAGAGGGTTTGTCGTGACCGTTTTCCATGTTAGTCACAGCTAGGGGGGTCCGGAGACAGCCCCCCGGGGAATTAAAAAAAAATTAGGCTATTTGGTGCATTCTGGTGAATTTTGAGGGTCAATTCTGAAGATACCCAATTCTGGAAACCGGTGCAAACCGGCCTAAATCCGCGCCTGGATAACTTGTATAGTAGCGATGATATATCATGGGATATGATATATATGATATATCTCTGATTCTCATCACTTTTCCAAGTTTTCTTGTTCAAGTTTTACATTTTTATTTTTTATTTTTTGATGAAATCGATTATCGATTTGGATAACCAAGCGCTTGGTTCGAGTCACTGTTCAACCGATAATCGAGTATAATCGATGATCGTGACATCACTACAGTTTCTATAGCCTAGTAGTCGTAGTAATTCCACAATGCACCAATTCCAATTATTTACCTGTTTTCTGTATTTTCCTATCTTTATCCATTTAACTATTTTCTCTAATTAACACAAATATTTACATGAATTATTTACAACAATTTAATAACAACAAATAATTTTTACAACAATAAATATATATTTTTTTAATAGGGTTAGGGTTAGGGTCACAATGCACCATAAAACAGGAGTTTGAGGCACGCGATTTGTATCAACCAATATGATTTGGGAGGTATGCAGAATGCAGAAGGTTGCTGAAATGATGTGTACGCAACTGCGTATCTGCATATCTGCGCCTAACAAAGGTGTCACTACGCACGACTTAAATGTTACGTTTATAACGTAGCAACAGACCTCAGATGAGCCCAGACGCTCTGCGGCTCTTGTTTTTATTAACCATCATTTTTATTATTAAATCGGCCTGAGTGCCCATGACCTCGACTTTACGAGACTAACGTCAATGCAAATCATTGCACAAAAAATATAGAATAACCAATAGTGACTAACCAACTATGTATTTCTCCAAAAATAATTGTCACCTAATATTTGATTTGTTTTGTATTACTTTAAATTTGTGTTACTACAGTTTTGTTTGCTATTCCTATTAGAATTTACATTAGTTCACTCTATACACTAACTTTCGTGAGGCAAACAAAGTAAACAACGAAATTGCAACAGAAATTCCGTATGTGAAAACCCCTAGAATAATGTTATCCCCCACAAGACTATAGCGCCTACTCTTGTGTTGGGTTACATTATTGTATTTAGGTGACACCTTGTGATTGCCATGTCTTAAAATTTACGGTCAGTCGATTACCAATTTTATTCGTCGCAAGCTAGGGCCAAATTTGTGGCAATTGCATCGTTAGTCGTTACCACTCATCATCTGACATCATCCCCCCAAAATAGTATATTACTTAGTAAATAAGCAGCAACCAGTAGTGCACGAAGGGTCGTTGTCGTATAATGGCGTATAATATGTACGCGAGGTAACTATCTGATATGGTTAGGGTTAGGGTTAGGGTGTTAGGGTTAGAGAGTAGGCGTAGGCGACATACTCGCCGACACCTCGGGTACTACATATACGAAAACGACCTCTTCAGCACCAGTAGTGGCCCAGAAGTATCCCACTTACCATAGCCTAATAGTATTTATGTTGCTATAGGTCAATAACATTGACCCCTGAAAATCCGGAGGACATGTGGCATGCTTACAATATCATCACAGTTGGTGACACCATCAGAGGATCTACCTTTAGGTAAGGGAAAGAGCTACCCTTTAATACCATGGTGGTATCTTGTGAGTTTTAGTTGGGTGATATATTGATTTGTAGTTTTTGGCTAATTGAGTGTAATTGGCAACTGGCAATTATAACAGCATCGAGTCAGGACTGCACACCTGATATGTAAAGCTGCTATGTGTGCTCGTTGAAACTTCCAAATTCATTGGTCAGGAATGCGGCATCTGGGAATGCGTTAGGTTGTAAAGGATAGTAGGGCTGATAATATACTCAAGACTTGTTGTAGTGTTTGTAATTTATTGAGATAAAACTGATATCATTTATAAGCAGACCTTTGTGTTGGGTCTATCTGATTAAAACGTTTTTTATGCACAAAATGCGTGCGTAGTACTCTGATTAGATCCATCAATGGATTTTGGTGGTAATTGCAACATTAATGTAGAAATTTTGGAAAATGTGCCTCCTACCTGGAAAAGTGTTTCACACTAGGTGTATACAGACTCTGTGTAAGCATCGTCTGCTTGCAGGAAGGTGCAGACAGAGTCGTCGACGGGTACGAGCTCGAGCAGCCGTGTGCGCCTCACACTGACGCTGCGCGTGGAGGGAATAGACTTTGACACACAAGGTTGCATGCTGCGCGTGAAGGGTCGTAACGTCACCGAGAACGAGCATGTCAAGGTATGTCGACCCGTTTAACATCTCTGACGCAAGAAGGTGGAAATACCGTTTTTTTTCCGGTAGTTAGCTATACGTTAGTTTAGAAAGTCTCTTTGTTCTGTCTGTTGTGTTTGTGTTGTGTCTGTTGTGTTTTATTAGCTCAGCTGACGAAGTCAGATGCAGCTTACAAGTAGAATCGCATGATTGTCCGTGCGTTCGTTCGTGCGTCCGGCCGTCCGTGCGTCCGTCGCACGGACAGTTTGTTTCAGCGCAGACCTACCATTTCTATCACTTTATTGAAAGGACCATGAAATGTACTTTGCGCTGACGTGCGAGAGTAAGTGTCTGATAACCTTTTGACCCTCAAGAGATGGGTTAAATATGGATTTGTTGACTTTTAACAAAGGACTGAACTGCTTTTGCTATTGTGGATGTGAGGCTACAGTTGCACAGTTCAATTGCAAAGGCAAATGTTTGTTGAACAAGGTTTATGCTCCTTAAATCATATTATTTTCTAAAGCGGTCTGTAATAGCACCCTGAATGCTCGCGTGGGTAGGCAAAAACACGGGGCAGCCCATTACGCATGCATGGGGGTGAACTGGCACTATTCTAATCATAACTAGAGCACTCGGAGAGCACAGACCTCCACCAAGGCAGCTGAATTCTGTCACTGTGAAACATTTTATTAATTAATTAATTAATTAAATAATTAATTGGATCCGGATGACGACCGAAATGTAATCAATTCTAAGTTACCCGATTTCTGACCTATCCTGAAAATTTTATGACAATCCATCCATAACTTTTTCAGTTAGGCTGGAGACAAACAAACCCACAAACCCACAAACCCACAAACGAACAAACACACGCTGGTCAAAACATAACCTCCTGCCAACCCCTTTGGCGGAGGTAATTATTGCCTGGCAACCTGCAATGCAGATGTGTTAACTCACAGCTGAGCGAAATATACTTGGATTTTAGCCGGTAGGATTTCAGCAACTCAATGGAGTGAGGTTATCACGCACGAAGGGCGATGCCATCTTTCATTATTGATGACACTTGCACGCGCCATCTCGCGGCAACTCGCTGCTTTTGCTATTAGAGCCCCCTCCACCCGCCCCCCTCCCCCCACCACCACCACTACGCTCACGCTTGACGCATATCCATGATAACATGTTAATATAGCGAAGTCATTAAAGTTACACAGCTGTATCTTTATTACTGTATACTACCGCTATAGCAAAGCGTATGGCGGGAGGGCGCACTTGATTCGGTTGCCAGTGAGTTTATCAGAAGAATACCCGGCTATAGTACACGTCAGTTGAGCGCTGTCGCTCTGCGGCACTTGTTAATTGTAATGATTGCGCTCGTGACAAAAGCTGATAGTGAGTATTTTATTTCAGATGGGTGCCTATCACACTATTGATCTTGAGTTGAACAGAAAGTTCACGTTAGGCAAGTCTGAGTGGGACAGCATCACGATGGAGCGAGTTGGTAAGTTGATTGAAACGTCACGTTTCTTAGTTATTGTCGGGCTTGGTGGGCGGATAAGATAAACATGTGTAAAACCTAAAGCAAAATTATTGCACTGCATTGTTGCAATGACGCATTTTCTTTTTGTGTCAAACCTTAATTGTAATAAATGCTTGTGTTGACTAACTCGGTAGTTTTGTCTACCGGTGTGTTTTTCAAGTTGTTATGACTCTTCAAATCACCACTAGATTGCAGTAGTCACAAGCGTCCATAAAACTGGTAGATGTTGTACATGTATAGACCGAGGTGACGCCATGAAGTGTCCATGAGGGCTACTTCATTAGAGAACCTAGATACAGTGTAGCCTCGTTATAACGCGATGGTTGGGATCCATAAAATGTCATCGCGAAAAAAGCGGGGTCGCACTATATCGGTGTTATATATACGTGGCTATGTAAGTGCAAAAAAAGAGGGAAATCCAACGACTCATCGCATTATATCCGAATTCACGTTAAATTGGGGCGCGTAAAATCATCGTGGTTCCTCTGTACCAATTTGGCACCCGTCCTTCCTCTGCACTGTAGAAAGTGCCTGTGATCCAACGGTGCATGCGGACCTGGGGGCTGTCATCATGCAAGAAGGCATCGCGCACGTGTGTCTCATCACGCCTGCGATGACGCTCGTGCGCGCCAAGCTGGAGACAACCATACCGCGGAAGCGCAAGGGCCACTGCGACCAGCACGACAAGGTGCTGTTACGAACGTGAACGTCCTCCAACTGTTGCTGAGAGGGTCTATGTCCCCCAGGGTACTATCGGAGGGTATCCTGGGTACGGTTCGATATATCGGAACGTACCCTGGTACTATCTAATATGCCGGACCGTACCTCGCCTACTCCACTAATGAGTCTAGGGAGTCGCCTACCCCTACTCCCTAACCTAACCCTAACCCTAACCCTGACCCTAACCATATCAGATAGTTACCAGGGTACGTTCTGATATATCGAACCGTACCCAGGGTACCCTCCGATAGTACCCTGGGGGGAATAGACCCTATGAGCCCAACTGCTATACTGCGACATAAGCAGTAGGGTGCGCGGTGAATTGCAGTTCTATTTTCGCTATACCTTTTAGTCAGTGTTGATTTGTACATGTGCACGCGGGATCTTACAGTTATTTTACATTGTGCGTAATTTTTTATGGTCTCATAACGAACAATACATGAAACTCCCCAGACTTCTCTTGCAATCTGTTTTTTTTTTCTCGGCTAGAATTGTAAACAACACTTCACACATTTAGGGTTTTATTTATGTTAGTGATGTCATTTATGTTATTTATGTTAGATATTTGTGTTCTAGGGTCTACAGAAGTTCTTCGACCAGATCATGCAGGCATTGCTTAGACATGTTAACTTTGACGGTATGTCTCTGCAGCATCGATGGATACGTTCTTGATGTTTTGTTATCTTTTCTTTCAATTGTTTAATATTCTGACGTTACAAGAGGCAAATTTGTTGCCACCTGTTATTACGCCTAACATCGTTTTTGTTACTGACATATAGTACAAGGTGTGGCGAATCTAAAAATATTATTTTTCCAAGAATAAAACGGTCTCTAACCTTCTTAACGTGATGCGGCATCCTATGTAACAAACACAATGGCAACTATATATACTCAACTTCTTATCGCAAATTATATGTAACTTCTAAACTAATTACACATAATTTGCGATAAGAAGTTGAGTATATATAGTTGCCATTATGTTTGTTACATAGGATGCCGCATCACGTTAAGAAGGTTAGAGACAGTTTTATTCTTCAAAAAATAATATTTTTAGATGTGCTGGTTGATAACTTCCTAACTTACGAAAAAGTTGTCTTGTGGGAACAGTTGTATTTTTTCGAAGGTGCAAAAATATTATGAGACTGCTGCACAGTTATGTCATTTTATCAACAAATTATAACTATAATAGAATGAACTTAGTAAGGAAATTAATGTATTTTTATGACATGATAACTGAGATCTTATATGTTGAATTCTAAAAGATTGTTAATTGACTTTTAATAGCGAGAGGTTTACTATGAGCCTGTCGGTGCAATTATATATGTACAGTGGCAGTGGGTTTACTGAATTCTGGAGTTTCACGTGACACATTCTACTGATGGATTCTTCATACAACCCATTTCCATGCTTATATAGGATGTGTATTTTATTATAAATTATGCTAGATTCACTTTTCCATTTCATTTTACAGTTGTTAAGTGTGTGCTTCTAGCAAGTCCCGGGTTTGTGAAGGTGAGAGCTAATCCTGAATGGAATGTTTGCAAAACTGTTGAATGGAAAGTTAAGGAGTCCTGCATATCGCAAATGTTTTCAACTGCAGGTATCAGTCTCTGATGCTTTTTGTCTTTAAACAACATTTGCAGGAGAAAATGAGAGCATTTTTTAACATGAGATATTACGCATGTAGTTGTTCTGTCCTATTGTAAACTCTTAATTGATTTTGTTTGAATGATAAGAATGTATTGTAATTTCCATTAGCATTGTAGTTTCATCTGAGATACAATTTTTTTTTATCCTATTTGTAAACAGCACAAATATCACAGTGATGTACATGCGCTTGTGCGGAAGTAACCACGGAGTGGTACCACCAGTGTGCCCCAATCATTTCTCTACAATATTTATTTCAACTGAACTCCAGGCCTAACTTTTTCATCATTTTTATTTTTTAAGTGTTATTTTTATTTTTTTAGTATCTACTCTAACACGTTATATCTGCTTTGATGTAGGACCAATTCTATGAATACATGTTCCAAGTTGCTGTCAAGATGGATAACAAACTACTGCTGGAAAACAAATCCAAATTCGTGCTTGTTCATGCTTCGTCCGGCTTCAAGCATTCGCTAAAAGGTGAGCCAGGCCCCTGAATCGACATCAGCCAAAAAAAACATCTAGTTTTTTTATTTGCCCAGGTTTTCCCCTGTGGTTTTTCCTCAGTACCTGTATTCACCTAACGTTTACATGCGTAGTTATTGTTTGAACTCTTTATTTGCTTCTCTCTCAGAACATTTTAGAGTCACCATAACCTGAAAAGCAAAAATTGTGTGCAATTAAAATTGCATTGAAAGACAATCGTTATTGTAAGCAATGGATTCTACTTGTGAACCTGCCTAATTGTACAAACGTGCATTGCAGTAATCAAAGGTACGAGTTGCCCTTGCTCTACATATCATATATATGCATATAAGACTAAGAGGTTGTACTATGTTATGTAAGGGTATTAATTTTATTTATGTTACAGAGGTGCTGTCAGATCCTACTGTGACAGCTAAGCTAGCAGACACGAAAGCAGCCGCGGAGGTGAAGGCTCTTGAACAGTTCTACACGATACTGCAGTTGGACCCAGACAGAGCCTTCTATGGGTCAGTGTTGCTGCAGGAGAGCTACTGTAGACGCCAAAAATTTTCGCCTACAGATATTTTCGCGAATTCAGACTTGACGGACAATTTCGCGAGTGGTTAATTCCACGGTCGGTGAATTGTGAATTATTCGGTATGAACTATTCGTGTGCTATTATTTTCGCGGTGGGGGACGCGTTCGCGAAATTTGCGAAAATTAAACCACCACGAAATAGACTACGTATACAGTTATTTACAGCGACATGGAGTGTGGCTGGACGATGATAAGAGCTAGGTATCGTTCTAGGAGATAGATAAGCGAGTTGTTATGTGCAGTGAATGAAGTGGGCGTTCAGATTGAAAGGATTGTTGACGGGGAAACCTTCTATTGCCAGCATTTAATTAATTGAATTTTTAGCTCATCTGACATAGTCAGATGCAGCTTGTAGAATCGCATGATCGTCCGTCCGTCCGTTCGTGCGAGCGTCCGTCCGTCCATCCGTCCGTCCATCAACAGTTGGGCACAAATCTTAACCGCTCGACGTACGGTCACGATATTCGGGACGTGGGGGGGTAATCTGAAAACGAGTTGGGATGTCGAAGCTGGGGGGTCAAAGGTCAAAGGTCAAGAGGTGTAAAAGAAGGGGGAACATTTACTCGTTAACTTAAGGTATAGGGAGGAAATGCAGAATTGGGGCACAAATCTAAATGGCTCGACCTAGGCTTGTGATAGTCGGTGTATAGCATCATGGTAGGAAAAGCCATCACTGTGCCGAAATTGGAGGTCACAGGTCAAAGGTCAATGGGCACAGGGCATATTTGAGACATTTTCTGAGGACATGGTCTGACGGAGCGATTGAAAAACTTTTTTGTTTCAGCGGTGACCTAGCATTTTTATGGCTTTATTGAAAGGACCATGAAATGTACCTTCTGCTGACATGCGAAGAGTAAGTGTCGGATAACCTTTTGACCCTCAAGAGGAGGGTTAAACATGGATTTGTTTACTGTCTGTTAGAAAGAATTTCACTGCCGGGTTTGCTAGTAGAATCTATACATGCCTGGATGTATGAGGCTACAATGTCACAGTGAAATTTCAAAAGGTAAATTTGGTTGAAGAAGGTTTATGTATAAAATCGTGATAATATATAAATGATATATATATATAATATGATATAAATGCATTAAATCGTATAATTTCTATGGCATTCTATACTGTCAGTATGTTACATGTAACGTATGCCACTGCCAGTGGCCATTGCCAGTGCATGTGGTGGTGGTACTGTGTAGTTTTTGCCTGCGTTAATTGGCTACAGGTGGCAGCTCTCTATTGCAGCCTGTAGGCTTGCGTAGGTAAATGGATGAGTGCTTACCTATTCTGTCTTGCAAATAGTTGTTGCTACTACGTACGATGGGAGCTTCCATCTTTAATCTGAAGACACTTAAACGTACGCGCCATCTCGTGGTAACTTTCATAACGATCCCAACGAACATTCCTTTGAGAAGGTTCCTGATACCATCCCTGTGCATTCCACTGTTTCGGCGTGTATGTGAACACATTTGGGACTAACAGGGTTTACTAGAATCCCACCACTCCACCACAGAGTCACCGCAGTAGACGTTAGATGAGCGCTGTCGCTCCGCGGCACTTGTTGTACAAGTGCATTCACAACCACATAAGGGTGAATGATTATTCTGATGTTTTTTTTTGCAGAGTGAAGCATGTAGAATGTGCCAATGAATCGCAAGCAATCGAGACTTTACTCATCTCTGATGAGCTGTTCAGGTAGGCATGCAACAATGCGTTGACTATACGTCAGCAATTCATGGCATCAGATGCCATTTGCATACATTTATGCAGCCCCATCAGAACTTCTCAGTGCATCTCGGGAGGGGGGGGCAGGATCAGTGGCATTGGCAAGGTTATTCCTTTTACTAATGTCACCACCCGTTGCTCTTGTCTTCACCAATCATTGGCATGTGATGCTGTTTCAGGTCGCAAAACATAGGAGAGAGGAAGCGGTACGTAAGCCTGGTGGAAAGTGTACGGGAAAATGGAGGCGACGTGAAGATCTTCTCGAGCCTTCACGTCTCGGGGGAACGTAAGTAGCTGTCGTTTAACACTCTGCTCTCGATACATTCCTTGGGAGCAGTGGTAGTTTTTGAAAGAGTCTATGCACGTTTCCTTGTTGATAAAGAAGTAGAAGGAGACTGGAGAGGGTTCCTAGGACTCTACCGGCGTGTTCACGTCTCTCTGCTTGAAATTGCTATGAAGATTAGAGATAAGCACTACAATTTGACTTCACGCCGAATTATGTCTGGTAAAGGAGAATTATTAAGGAGTTAAGAGAGCCTTTAAGGAGGAGCCTATTAAGGAGCCCTTAATTATTTCTCCTCATCACAGCCTCCTAATTACATCCACAACGACAATTCGGACAAACGTGACTCTGAATAGGTTAAGACTAACAGTTGATTATTTTTCTTCTGGCAGAGCTGGGCCAGCTGACTGGCGTAGCTGCCATCTTGAGGTTTCCTATGGCTGACATGAGCGACGAAAGCTCTGATGGCGAAGACACATAGGGACAGCATGCTAGGAAATTCATTTGTCCTCGCTGCTATATATGTCCTTGTTTTCCGTGCCTCAACCCCTCAGTATTCCTAAATCAAGTATGCACTAGGAAACCATTTGAAATATCCACACGGCAGAGCTCTTTTTTCCCTTTGTGCACTGGGTGTCCGTCTTGCAAGAAAGTCTGCTTCGTGTTTGGGGTGATACTCCATTAGGAGTGTTCCCAACTTTAATGTCATTAATGGTCATAATAATATATATATATATATATATATGGTCATGCTCATATATTAGTTTGTGGTTTAATGTCATTTAGATTAGGGTTAGGTTTAGGGTTAGAATTATCAATCATTAATCATTAATCATTAATCATTAATGATATCAAAGTTGGGAACACTCCTAATGGAGCGTTAGCCCGTGTTTGGTCTAATAAAATAGAATTCTGCTTCGACCTGCATTAATTCTCATCCATTATAAAGCTGAACTAAATCCACCTCTAGACACATTTTTGCGTGCCATCTCCCTGCTGCTTGTACTTGGTTATTGCACCCTAATATCTGTCTAATCGTGCGCGGTTGTGTTCGCCTTACTAATGCACTATTGGGGATACACGAAACAGCAACTAACTCCAAAGTAGTCCAACAAACTGCAGTCCCAAGTGTTCGTGGGCTTCGTGCTGAGAACTGAGAGAACCTTCACGTGGAGAGAACGATTATCGACGGCACAAACATTTTTCGATATTGTGTGCTGCAGTTGCACCGCTATGGGCGTTCGTTGTGAGGCGGTTCTTGGATAATACATGTTCTGCTGTGCTGAGCTCATGATCATGCCAGCTCGGTGAACTTCGCGATAAATTCACACAAATATTTGTAATAATAGAGGAGAGAACGTGGTGGGTGCAACGATGACCATAATAATTAGAATAAAGTTTTTATTGTATTAAAGACGTTTGCAAGAGGTTGTGAGATGTTTCAATGCTAGATGTTTATGCCGATCTGCGATTGCTCTTTGCCCACCTCTCCTTTTGGGTATATACTTTAGTGGAATTGCGTAATAGCATGCGAGTTGCCTGACAGCCTCGCGACAGACATTGTAACAGCAAAATGTATCGAATTTTATGTGTTGTACAACAGTAGAGGGCGTCCATAGGCAGCAAGTCTGAATAAGCATCGAACAGAAATTAATTAAAACTACTCGGAGAGTTTCTTCGCATACACAACATACACTTTATTCATGCTGAATAACCACAGATTCATGCTATATACTCCGCTCGAAACTTTAGCCATCTAAATGATACGTATTTCTACAAAGTAGTCGTATCTGTTTTCTAGGTTCTAGGACAAATACCCCCCGGACAATTACCCCCCATGCCATTCACCCCCCGGACAATCACCCCCCGGACAATC